CGTATCCGAATCCGTGGGGATGGTAGCTACGGTATGCGCTGTGGCCCAGGGAGCGGCGGTGGCGGTAGCCGGGGTGGCCGTAGCTGCGGAGTCCGTAGCCGTAGCCGTGGTATGCGCCTCTGTAGCCTCCGTAGAAGGGGCCGGCGTATGAGCGGTAACCGTGATAACCACTGTATCCCTGGCTGGCAGAGACAACAGCCACCAGGGCAGCCAGAAGCAGCAGCTGGAAGCAACGGAGGCGACATGAGTAGTGTAGACACCCTGTGTGAATGATACATTAACAGGCTTATTGGAATGGATAAACGAGTATTTTGTGCGGTGTCGATATAGCGTGCTTTGTACAGGCCAGTGTTCGACCCCGACGAATCGGCTGGTACCTGAAAATATGATCAGCATATCGAAGTCTGTCGTAACGAATGATGCAGTTACTGTTGCTGGTGGTTTAAGAACTAAAACAAAATATAGTCGAAGTTCAGCTATATTGTAAACAAAATTCACTAGAGCTTATTTGTTCAGCCATATCGAACCATTTAGTTTCATAGTGGGCTAAATCGCGCTGCATTAGAACCCGCTTCCTTCTCGTTATCAAGGTGTACTAGGCCTCGCACACTTAACAATGCTATCAGAAATAAGCAAGACGGGTAACAATGAACCAAAGCACCACAGCAACACTCACCGCAAGCTTGGCGTTCATCTCTGCGGTTTGTTCGACCTCCGACTGCTAGGAGAGTAGACCAGTGTGTGTGTGTCTGCGGTAGGTGGGCTGGCACTTTTATATGTCGAGGCGGCTGTCCTGACCTTGGCGGCCACGCTGCGGTACTTCCAGCGTTGAATGTCCGGTAGACACTCCGGAAGGGTGTGGTTCATCTGGTTAGGACATTAGTCAGGTTTGTCTGATGTGTTGACGTACGTACGTTTTGCATGATGCTAAGTGACACGGAATACCACACTGACATCGAAAATTGTTCTGACAACAAGTTTACCAAAAGGACTGTCACTTGCGGAATTACGTGGCTAAATCATGCCGTATAGCTTTTCGCATTGCGTGAACCTGATGCAGGAAGGGCCATGTTCAAACATCATTGCCACCAGTATGATGCCTTTTGTGACGCGAGAGGAGTCGTGTGATGGAAATATTATCGTTTTCATAATACATGTCTTACCAAAGCCGGTCGCCTTGTAGCTCACACACATGTGATTTACAAATGCACTTAAAACTATTACCTTGATACGCTCAGCGGACGGAGGTGCGCTAATGCTGCCGGTACATTATTTCACAAATAGTGCCTTGAAACTAGTTGCCTATTGCTGTGGAATGGCCAGACAATTTCAAGCAAGGGCATCGAAAATTTGCAATGATTTGCAGCGTTCCAAACGTGACCAAACAGCACACCTTTGGGAGTTGTATGATCCAATCTCTCTCGATTTACCCAACAGTATCTTATATTCATGACTGATTACACATTCTAACTATGGGGGTGAAGTTTTGAATGCAATACGGCAATTTCTTAACCAGGAAATTCGGTTTGTGTTTATGTCTCATTGTCCGCATGAGCGGCGACAATTTACGCCCAACATCAGTAATTTAATGACGACGCCAGCAAATAGCCGACGGGATGTGCACCGTATGCATAGGTGTGAAGCTTCTTAAAGAAACGGTGTTGATGTTTCTAGGATCTTGCGTGGTCAAAATGCAGTTTGAACTGACGGGGGGAATAATACGTGGCAAGGGAAAAAAGAAACTAGACATTCTTCCGCTGGATACGACTTACCACTGAGGCTGCCCACACCTTACCAAAAAACTTTGTTCTCCGGTAGTTTTGGTGGTTTGTAGGAAAACCGGTCCACTAAATGTCGCATATCTACTGCGTCGGGACGATCCTTGCGTATTTGACAAAGTGTTACCTCGCACGTGCATGACTGATTTCTACGGTAAGCGAAATTCTACCGCTTAAATCCCTTGCACTCACTATTGAGGGGCTAGGTCCTAGTTTGTCAGCCAGCTCTTACAAATAGCGCGTTCAGCAAGAATGGGTAGGGCTCTTACTCATGTCTAGGAGCCAACCCCTTCGCTCACGTTCGCTGTTCTTACGAAGCCTCTATGGGTATCATATATTGTGTAGCTTTTGACTGTCTTGGTTTTGAATCGATGACCACAGATGTGGTCACAGCCCCGTGTAGCAAGTAGAATGATATACAATTGTTAATGTTAATTCTGCTCGCGCTTGCACGATGCTACCGACGAGCAGTGTTTGGACCCTATCCAGATAGGGTTCACGCCTCTCTAGACCCCATCTCTGTGTTCTTCGTTTTCTGATCTCCAGTGGAATCAAATCACTTCCAAATTGAAGAATATACAAGATAATTATCTCTACTGTTTGCCGCCTTGTCTCATAATGTGATGCAAAATTCCTTCAAACGCGTTTTTCAATGCATTTCTGGGGGTGCATAACGAATTTAGTGAGGCACATCGAGGCACATCGGATTTATGTTTGGAATATCGAGCATTGTCGGTCGTCGTTCTGTACGCTACACTGTGATACTCACAAAACTTTGAAACGGCAAAGGCTACGTGAAGGACTTGGTGCGCCATTGAACTACCGCCAATTTCGAACGCAAAACCCTTATTAAGGTAAAATGAAGCGGCAAAACATCGCCATTACTTTTACCCTCAAGTTGTACAATGATCCCAAAATGCATCATGGTAGAAATAATAACCAGGTCATTTCTGTATTTGTTCTACACCAGCAGTGTCTTTCAAAAACAACTCCATCTGAGCGCGACGGAAGTTTCATTTTTGTTGGCTTTACGCTCACCGTTGCACAGATTTGGCATTGGCTGAAGTATTGGAGGATTGAAGCAAAACTACAACAAGAACATAGCATTTAGTCAAAATGGAACACTTCACTAGTTCACTTCACTGATTACAACACGCAACAGGGCAGCGCCACTGTTCGAACATCTGAGGATCCACTTGTTATCACGAGCGTTGACGCTCATCTGTTGGGACGCCTGGACAAGCATGCCGATTTTGCCGACTATACCGGATTTTTGGCTCCTAATATAATCACCGCTTGCAACAAATTAATTTCATTCGTAATTAAAAGGTATTCGGTCCTGCGATGAGAGTTAGCACTAGTCCAGCTGGTTCAAGGTTCAGAGGCGCGCGTCGGCGGGTGAATTTCATACCAACGCGGGCACCGCAGACAGCTGGAATCATAATTACAGTCGACCACTAGAACACTAGTCAAACACTTCGGCTTCGTATGGAGGCATCAAGTGGGCAGACTTTCAGCGTAGACCATCAATAATTTACGCAAATCGATACTTGTGACCTGAAAAGCACAAAACCTTGCAATGTTAAGTAGATGAATTAAGTCACAAAGCTGAGCCAATTTATGATGTGACGTGACTTCCTCTAAAACGTGGGGGCTGACAATGCCCTGGGTAAAAATCACAACAAGCATGTGCATTACATAACAGTTACACAGTTACATAACAGTTACACAGTTACATAATAATTACATGGTTGGTTACATAGTACACTTAGCTACCAATATTTCCAATATTTTAAGTTGGTAGTTGTCAATGAGAGGATCGTATGTGATCATACAACCATGCCTAATTAATATAATTGCTGCCTGACCCATTTTTCTGGTGGCAACACCAGTGCAGGTAATGGTGTAATGCTATTTTCGGATGTGTTGAATAATCAAACACCAATTGAACCACAACCTTAGTCTTCCCTTATAGGAAAAGTACAAAATTATCATCTCTAGCATTCATATACCTAAGAACACCTGGGACCAGCCACTTATCATAAAGCACTCAACAGCCGGTAGCCCGCCACATTATTCACAACTGATTCACTGTGCAGTAGCTGAATCGTTACGCGATCAATTGTGATGCAGAGTGCCTGAAATGACTCACGTGTAGGCTGAGACATAAAATAATTAAAGACGGACCGAAATAGATCAGTTAAGCCGACATGCGTGGGAAATTACTTTGAAACCACTCATCCCTACAGCCCCTACTCCTATCATTACACCAAACTTCAATCGTCCTACCACTAGCGAGCGTTATTACACTTCTTTGCCATAACCACACTAAAAATTCCCTCAGGTCAGCACTGCCGATGTTTGGTACAGCAGTACAAACCGGATCTTAATTACTATTAGGTGATACTTGTAGTGTTTTAATACGCACTAGGCAAGACGTTGGAGCACCCAGTGTTCTACCATCATGCGTTATCCATTTGTAACCCGGTTATCATGGTACACCGCAGGCAATAGGTTAGCCAGGAAATTACCCAGGCCCTGTGTGTTTGTTTTTTATCTTGGTAAGTCAGCATGATACGCAATGTTAACGGAGGGAAGTAGACAGAATGCAGTACAGTAAAGGCAGTAGCTTAGGCAGAGACTCGCCCAAGCTCTGTGAGAATCAAGGTTAACGGTTTTCCTCATGGTGGTAAACATATGTAATATTGACATATGACAGTGAACTTAGTCTTCAACACCAGCCATATCTTTCACAACAAACGGAAACGGATTCAACGAGGGTTTCATCAATTGGTCGTATCACTCTCCGCTCTCGGGATTTCACTGCTCAGCACAGGTTTCTTAAACCACCGTAAGAAACATAAAAGATATCTAGAGCAATTTATTGGAGAATGCCAAATGCGAACAGACAATCACAAAACGGGACGATTAATGATAGTAGCCAGAGCGGTATCCATAGGCACGGGGGGCGTATCCGTAGCTGCGGGCAGCGTATCCGTATCCATAGCTGCGGGGCGCGTATCCGTATCCGTGGCTGGTGTATCCGTATCCGCGGGGCTGGTAGCCATGGTAGGCGCTGTGGCCCAGAGAGCGGCGGTGACGGTAGCCGTGGCCGCCGTAGCTGCGGAGTCCGTAGCCGTAGCCGTGGTTTCCGCTCCTGTAGCCTCCGTAGTAGGGGCCGGCGTATGAGCGGTAGCCGTGATAACCACTGTATCCGTGGCTGGCAGAGACAACAGCCACCAGGGCAGCCAGAAGCAGCAGCTGGAAGAGAGGGAAGCGACATAAGCGTCGAGAGCATCCTGTGTAAACAAGAGTTATAAACAACACACGTATTGGATGTAATCAATTCTCTCCTGATTTTTGTCCGTATTTTTATTGAATGATGTTACGCGGCACAGATAAATCGGTAGCTCCGCTTGAAGTTTTCTTTGAAACTCGAAGCCTCTAATTACACGTTTTTCAACAGTTGCTGGTGGTTTGAAAACTACAACAAAAATATCATATTTGATCTCCAACGCTAAGACACGCCCGTGGCCTCTAGTTTGCTAGCACTGAAGTCATTTGTGTTCTAGCCTGATACATCAAAACCTATAAATACTGTCTTACTGATGTCACCGATAACTGCGAGTCCCCACACACTAAACAAGAGAACTACTCAGTGGGCATAGCCAGCTACCAAGATGCCACATCAACACTCACCGCAAGCTTGGCGTTCATCTCTGCGGTTTGTTGGACCTCTGTCTGCTGGGAGAGTAGACCGGTGTATGTGCCTACGGGAGGTGTGCTGGCTCTTTTATACGGTGAGGCGTGCGTCCCGACCTTGGGGCCCACGCTGCGGGACGTGGAAGGCCCAGCACTTTGGAAGGGTGTGGTTCGGCCGCCGGGGGGCACTGTGCAAGGGCGGCTCTGCTGCATTCGCATGGTATTCACTGTGTGCGTGTCATGACGTCTTGGGATGGGATGCCAAGTTCGCCCGAAGTGCCACCACTGTGGCAGCATTATGATTTTCAACCGCGTCCGGCTGGTGGTGGGATTTGACTTTCCCCTTGTTACGTCGGGAACAGCTCAAAAAGAAACGCCCACAGTAACATCAAATTCTCTATTATGTGGTCTAATCATGTGTGGTTTGTTTGCCCTTGGGCAAGCGTTCAGTACTAATAGAACATAATATGCATACAGTGGTACCATTTCAATTTTTCGAAACAGGTAATTTCGAAAACAAACAGTAATAACAAACAAAAGTAACAAACAGGTAATTTTTCGAAACAAACAGATAATTGGTTGCTGTTTTTCGTAACTCTTGCTATTTTTGCAAGTATTTCTGCGTAGTTTTCGTGTTAATATGGCAGGAAAGGAGTACTTACTCTGATGCACAGTCATTATGTAAACACAGAGAACACGACCCTAGCCCAGATTATGACCTACCTATGTGGACGCCTCGTGCAGATATTGTTTGGTAATTTTAGGCGCGGAATTACAACATTTCACTGAAAATATGTCGTAATCTCATTCCAATACGTAATGGTGATACAGCGGGTCATGTGAGAACATGGGAGGTCATATGGGGTTATCCAGGTTCTTTGACCTATGTTGTCAGCTGCGGTAAGGCTAGATGAATAGATGCAACGCGTGTAACCACTTCTACATAGTGTTTATGAAACTGATGACGCATCATATCAGGTACTAACGTGACTTCCCAGTTTGTTGCAAATACACTGTCAGGTGTCTAAGGGACTATGTAAAACGTATGCAACATGTATGCGTTCGTGAGGACCAATAGATTTCCACCGCTATTTCGGACCGCGGAAAACAATGTACTGGTCACTTAAACCGGGTTAGGACCTCACATTTTGTCCTTTGCGTGTAATTTTAGTATACGCAAAATACGTTAACTGTTATATATTGATGTGGTCTCTTGGTTGTTGGCTGTCTCCTTACCGCTGGTTATATATTTGCCCTAAGTTGACCTCAGCTGACCTTTAGGTCAGCCCAAAATGGTATGGTTGGGTCCGGGATACTGTTGTAGCAGCTGCACGTAATAAAATAAACTCAATCTGAAGCACGCTGTGGAAGAAAACAAAAGGCATCGTTCTTTTATGCTACTGGTAGACCATTTTTGAACGATGACCTGACCTGACCTGACATTTTGTAATGAAACAGTTTAAATTTAAATGGGCTTCACAAGTATTTACGCTTACTTCTGTGTTCTCAATATTCGTCTTGATATGTTAACATGTGTGTTATCTGCATTTACCAGAACAGCCGTTTTTTGGCATTGATTGGCCTATGGTGACCTTCAATTTGATCTAAAGTCAAACATATGGCGTGCATTGTTCATGATTTGACGAGACCTTAACAATGGTATTTGTGTTATTCTCGTACGACCTTTGGGAGTTTGAGATGCTGGGGGGGGGGGGGGGAGTCAGCTTACCACCGGCCGGGAGAGGTTGTCGAAGATCCCGACCAGGCGCAAGTTAAGCATGTAAATCACACTTCGGAGTCAATTAAGTCTGGGTCGAAGGGTCTGTGTCATGCCATCCATTCGTAGCGAACTACAAACCTCCACGGTGACCACCTGCACAGTGTGCGCTGCCGACCTGTCACAACCATGACGAAGCTGATAGTGAGCCGCATTCTGCGCCGTGGGAGGAGCGAATTATGACAAACGTGGCCATCTGGATGACACCAGAGCCAAAGCGAATGAAGCTATTCACTTCCGGGGACACATCCTGTATTTTGCAACAATACTGATCGAATTAGGCCGTAGGGACGTAGCCTACTGGGGCAAGTTTGTTCTAGACCAATCTTCCAAAACGTGGCATTGGTCACTTTCTGGCCTACTACGTCACCTCTACCGGTCGGACAGCGCTGAGCTAGCCCGGTGATCTGTAGACGCTACATCCGCGCATCGCTATGTAACAGGCTTCATGTCCACATCTTTTCTGATTGCTAATATCTGACAACATGCTTCAAACGTGCTACATGATTCGCTGACCAATGACTGGCACTGGAGTGCGTAAGCTTAATTGTGCAAACCATTGCACACTTGGCCACTGCGATTGTCCGTCTGGAGTGGAGGTGCTTCCAAACTGGTGATACGAAATTATCATCGTAGCACTTATTGTAGTACTTCATTCTCCTAACGGCAGGTCGGACGGTGCTGGAATTGTTGCGGATCCACATATTGTTATGTGTTCCGTGTTCAGTCTCGTTTTTGTTGTGTTCCTGCATATTCAGCCATGAGTTTTACCTGTTGACTTGTGTTCACATACTCGGCTATCGCGCTGTTTTCAAGTTTTTTTTTATTCTATTTTATATCGTCGTAATAACTGGTAAGAACGTCGACGCTCTCATATGATGGAGAACCAAGCGTGATATGCGATCGAAAATTTTGCAGATGTTGGTAGAGATGATTTTGAGATAAGCAGTCCTGTACCGGGCAGCGAGGTTGCATCTTGTCGACTCACACCAGAATTTACAAGTTTCTGGCAAAAAAAAAAACATCATATTGGCGCAATGCTCACGACCACAGCGAGTCGATATTTCATTACATTCAATTGTATTCCCCCGTCGAAATTTATTCGTAGTCTGCAATGCAGTTTTTTGCTCTCTCTCTCTCTCTCTCTCTTCTCTCTCTCTCCTCTCTCTCTCTCTCTCTCCTTCTCTCTCTCTCTCTCTCTCTCTCTATCTCTCTCTCTCTCTCTCTCTCTCTCTCTCTCTCTCTCTCTCTCTCCTCTCTCTCTCTCTCTCTCTCTCTCTCTCTCTCTCTCTCTCTCTCTCTCTCTCTCTCTCTCTCTCTCTCTCTCTCTCTCTCTCTCTCTCTCTCTCTCTCTCTCTCTCTCTCTCTCTCTCTCTCTCTCTCTCTCTCTCTCTCTCTCTCTCTCTCTCTCTCTCTCTCTCTCTCTCTCTCTCTCTCTCTCTCTCTCTCTCTCTCTCTCTCTCTCTCTCTCTCTCTCTCTCTCTCTCTCTCTCTCTCTCTCTCTCTCTCTCTCTCTCTCTCTCTCTCTCTCTCCTCTCTCTCTCTCTCTCTCTCTCTCTCTCTCTCTCTCTCTCTCTCTCTCTCTCTCTCTCTCTCTCTCTCTCTCTCTCTCTCTCTCTCTCTCTCTCTCTCTCTCTCTCTCTCTCTCTCTCTCTCTCTCTCTCTCTCTCTCTCTCTCTCTCTCTCTCTCTCTCTCTCTCTCTCTCTCTCTCTCTCTCTCTCTCTCTCTCTCTCTCTCTCTCTCTCTCTCTCTCTCTCTCTCTCTCTCTCTCTCTCTCTCTCTCTCTCTCTCTCTCTCTCTCTCTCTCTCTCTCTCTCTCTCTCTCTCTCTCTCTCTCTCTCTCTCTCTCTCTCTCTCTCTCCTCTCTCTCTTTAAACGGCAGCGCAGGACTGATGCAGTTGTTTCTTCTTTGCCCTCTGTATTCACCTGCAGGGCTATTGCACACGTTATTCAGTAATATTACTGCTGTGGTGGTATACTGAAGGGAATAGCTTAGCCAACAACTTGTCAAGGACGGAGCCAACGTTGATAAAAGGGGCCCTGTGTCGTTTGGAAATGTTAGGGGCCTTACGCTTGGATTCAAAGGACCTTTATAGTTTAGATCCTATTTACTTACCTCGGAGCCTTTTGTTTTCACCATGGGTGTTTTAAACGGCCAAGTATACTGACCCTTGGATCCAGCGCCAATATGTATTTTTTACGGAGATGGGGGGGGGGAGTGGCCAAAAAGCCCCCTTCTGGCTTTGTGTGGTTATGCTTGATCCTTTTAAGTCGACATGAGAGGTAATATTTATGAACACGGATTACAACGCGTGTTTGTGTTCTGCACGTTTTGCTACGGCTAAGATTTTTAACGACCAAGTTCAGATATTTGGTAGGATCATTGAGGGACGCTTGTTTTCATCATCGGTTTCAAGGCAAAGCAAGTGTCCCACATTAGTATGGAATTTTGACCTCAAATAGCCATCTTGATGATCATTCGGTACAGTTCACAGTCCCGCCCCTCTTAGCACCAACATTCGTCTAGTTTCTGAGCTACACGTCCGCGAAGATGCGCAGACTATTCTGTGGAGACTATCTCGAGGTCACTTAAGCACCCATGAGATCATGATAACATCGTTCAAATCCCTCCATTCCCTAGGCATGCGGCGATCAAGGCTAAAACACGCAATTGTCGAGTTATTCCTATCTGTTGTTCGTAAGCACAATTTCCAGAAAAAACGGCCGTCGACTGGTTTTCAATCAATGTTGTCCAAGAGACGATGATGTCATCACGCAAAGACTCATTGAGGGACATTTTTACTAAACAGAAGTGATGTTTTCTAGAACATTATTTTCCTTCTAAAGTGTGCCAAAAGTTATCAGTGGGTGTATTTAATCACATATAATGTTTCCTTTAATACCAACTGTGGAACAACCAACAACCCTTCAAACGAGAGCAGTGACCAGGGTAACTTTGTTTCTTAATCTTGTTTCTCGACACCAGCACACGATGGCGTTGATACACATAGAGACCGGGGAAAATATTACGTTTCCCTTCCTGTAATTTTCATGGAGTTTCCACCATTAGGGGCATGACACAGCAGCCAGAAGATTCGACATGGAGAATAGGGGGCAATAGGACAGAATAAGACGGGCTAACAACCGGGGACAGGATAAAAGGACAAGGTTGAGGAGGATAGAGATTAAGGTAATAGCACAGGGTATATGGCAGGGAGAACAGGAGGCAATATAAGTCAGGACAGGGCTTAAGATGAAATGACGGGGCAGGATAACAGATAAGAGCGCAC